CCTTGTCTTCAAAAGTTCACAGCCTAGTGAGCAAGACAAAAGTAGAATTACTCTCAGTGTAACCTGATAAGTGCTTTAGCGATATAATGTTAGAGTGGAAGGAAGGAAAGGAAGGATGGGGAGGGGAAATCTTGAGAAAATAAGGAGGTTTTAGCAGGAGGGTCGCTCTCAGTAGGCTCTTGAAGCAAAGGCTGGAAGTTATGACAGAAGAGGAGAAAGCATTACAGACACAACAAACAGCAGGTGCAAAAACTCAGAGTTGTGAACACTCTTTCTGTGTCTAGGGCAGCAGAAATATAGTGACGATTATGACCAGAGAACCCAAACACAGATCATAAAGGGCTATGCTAAGTGGTTTGAACCATCTCCTATTGGAAGCAGTAAGAGACTGAGGACTGATCAGCAAAGGAAAATTAATACAAAAATACTAGTGTCAACTATATGGAGTAGGGACTGGAGAAACTGAAAGATTAATCTAAAAAATTTGCAAATCTTTGGGCCAAGGATGCACCCCTGACTTTAAGCTAGAAATGTGGCCAATGGTATGGACATGAAAACATTTCAGAGCTCAAATCCATAGTTTTGGTAATCAATCGGATGTAAGCAAGGAGAGAGAGTGAGGCCTTGGCAAAGAATAGATGAGAGTGCCATGTGCTGCAGTGTAGAATACAGAACAGAGAGTAGCTTGACTGGAAAATACAATTGTTTATAAATATAGTTCACAACTTCCCTAGGGTTGCTATATAAAATGCAAGACACCCAATCCATTTATGTGGATTTCAGAGAAATAATCCATCTCAAAGTCCACTAAATTGCCACCTGTCTACCTAACCAGCAGCAAGAACACATTTTTCCCCAAAAGACTTTTTTTCCTATAATTTCTATAAGTTGTTTCTGCTTTGCCTTCCCTCTGATAATCTCACTGTCTGTCCATCAGCACCCTGCTCACCAGTTCAGTACGGTCTCACTATCCGATGGACGTCTTGATCCAATTGCCCTTGACGCCAAATGGCTCTCATGTACTGCTGTCCCTGCCCCACCAGCGACTTGCCTCACCATCACTGATGCTGCAATTGTTCACCATGTCGTCTGGCCACGTCTCATGTTTGCCCTTCAAGTGGTAAAACAGCAAACAAAGTTGCAGCCAGAAGATTAAAAGGGAGTAATAAGAATATGGAATTAATTCAGAAGACAGGAAAGGAAGAAAATAGAATAAGAAATAACAGATGAAACAAACAGAAAATTATATATATATATAGAATGATAGATTTAGGCTTAACTATAGCAATGACCACATTTAACATAAATACACATACCTCAATCAAAAGGCAGATATTGTTAAACTGGATTAAAAATACAAGACCACGTGCTACCTACACAAAGTGCACTTTAAACAAACCCATATAGGTGAAAAACAAAAGGAGGAAAAAGATATTTTAACACCCATTGAAAGAAACATGGAATGACTGTATTAACCTTAAAGTGTATTTTAGGGCAGAAAATATAACCAGAGACAAAAAGATAATTTCACAATTAAGAGGTCAGTTCATCAAAAGGACCTAATAAGACTACATGTTTACTATACTAACAACAGTTTCAAATTATGTAAAGCAAAAAAAGCATTGTATGCGTCAGAAGACGAAGTAATAGAAAAATGCACAAGTATATCTAAAAATGTCATCAGTCTCTCAACAATTAGTATTTTGACTTAGACAAAAGGTTAGCAAGGATAAAACAGACTTAAACAGCAGCATCTACCTGTAATGAACTTGACCTAATTGGTATTTATAGAACAGGCCACTATTCCACCTAACAGCAGCAGAGTACACATTCTTTTCATGTGCACATAGAATCATTACCAAGATAAATAAGCATCAGAAATTTTAAAATGGATTCAGGTCATACAAAATATATCCTACAGTGGAATTAAGTTAGAAATCAGTAACAGAAAGACCTGTGAAAAGTCTCCAAAACTTTAGAACCTGAATAATGCAATTTTAACTAACACATTGGCCAAAGAAGAAATCAAAAGGATATTTTGATTACCTAAGACTAATGAAAATGAAAACACAACATATCAAAAGTTATGATAGAAATTTGTTTAATTTATGAAGTTTTCAAATCAATGATCTCAGCTTCCACCTTCAGAAACTAGAAAAAATAAACCAAATGAAACCCAAAATTAGGAGAAAAAAATAAATAATAAAGATTAGAGCAAGGATCTGTGATATCAAAAATAGAAAATCAGGAAATCAATGAAACCAGAAGCTGGTTCTTTAAAGAAAGCCACAAAACTGATAAAATTCTAATCACACTGATAAGGGAAAAAAGAAAATACATACTACTAATATCAAGAATGAAAGGTACTATCACTACATAGGTATTAAAAGCATATTATGAATAACTTCATGACAACAAATTAAATAATTTAGATGAAATGGATGAATTATTTGAAGCACTCAAGTACTAAAATTCACTCAGGAAGAAATAGATTGTCCAAATAATAAGTATTTCAGAAACTGAAGGTGTTAAAAACCACCTTGCGGCCGGCGCCGCAGCTCACTAGGCTAATCCTCCACCTTGTGGCGCCGGCACACCAGGTTCTAGTCCCAGTCGGGGCACCGGATTCTGTCCCGGTTGCCTCTCTTCCAGGCCAGCTCTCTGCTGTGGCCAGGGAGTGCAGTGGAGGATGGCCCAAGTGCTTGGGCCCTGCACCCCATGGGAGACCAGGATAAGTACCTGGCTCCTGCCATCAGATCAGTGCGGTGTGCTGGCTGTAGCACTCCAGCTGCGGCGGCCATTGGAGGGTGAACCAACGGCAAAAGGAAGACCTTTCTGTCTGTCTCTCTCTCACTGTCCACTCTGCCTGTCAAAACAAACAAACAAACAAACAAACAAAAAAAAACTACCTTGCAAAGAAATCTCAAGTTTCACTAGTAAATTTTGTCAGTTAAAGGAGAATTAATGACATTTTTCCCACTTTCAGAAAAATTAGGACAAGAAATCAGTTCCAACTAATTCAAAGCCTGATAAAAAACTTGACAGTTCTAAGAAAGCTATAGACCAATTTCTTCCATGAAGGTAGATGCAAAAAGTCTAAACGAAATTTCAGAAAACTAAAACAATTCCCTAATAACATAACATGACCAAGTAGGGTTTGTCCCAGGAATCTGAGGCTCGCTTACCAACATCAGAGAATCTATTGTCTGAGGGACTCACTTTTTTTTTTTTTTTTTTTTTTTACTTGAAAGAGTTACAGAGAGAGGTAGAGACAGAGAGAGAGGTCTTCCATCTGTTGGTTCACTCCCCAGATGGATGCAATGGCCGGAGCAGTGCCAATCTGAAGCCAGGAGCCAGGATCCTCCTCCAGGTCTCCCAGGTGGGTGCAGGGGCCCAAGGAGTTGGGCCATCCTCCACTGTTATCCCAGGCCATAGAGAGAGCTGGACTGGAAGGGGAGCAGCTGGGACTAGAACTGGCACCCATATGGGATGCCGGCGCTTCAGGCCAGGGTGTTAACCCACTGCACCACAGTGCTGGCCCTGGGACTCACTTTTTAAAAACTTCAAAGACTGGGTCAAATTCAGTATGAATGTTTCCTCTCTTCCCTACTAAGGTGCCTGCCTGCCTCTTGTTAGGGCAGCCAAGAGCTGAATAAATATTCACTCTTCAGGATAAAAAAAAATCTTAGATCAAAACATCCAACAGATAAACCAAGTATACAAATTAGACTTCTATATGAGTTCACACTCTTTATTACTTCCATTAATTTAAACAACAAAGCTGGTTATGTTTCAAAGTACTATCAACATCTGTAGAATTTCTTTTTAGGGATTTCTTCTACATGACCTGAGAAAGACTCTTAAATGATAGTTTTTAAAAGCAATGAAATAGCAGCAACTATCTGGCTGCCTTAGATCTCCAGTGTGCACAAATGGAGCAAAAATTTAAACGGAATTGAGTTGGGGGGAACTGGTCCCAAACAAAAGGAAGAGACAGACAGAATTGGAGAGACAGAGAAGGCTTGTTTGGTATGGGCTGGACTGTCTTCCCGGTGCTGCCAGTCAGTAGTCAGGGTTTTGCCATTCCAGTCTCGAGTTTTTTGTTGGGAGACAGAAAATCTCCTTCCTGTACTAAAAATCACAGCACCCCAGGCACAAGGGCATTGAGCACACACACAAACGCCCCCCCAAGCAGATACGGGGAACATGGGGGTGGTGCAGGAATATGGGGGAGAGCAGTGGCAGCTGAGACTACCAAGAATGGCACAGGACATGGAGAATGGCAGTGTGGACTCCCTCTAACAAGACAGGATGGGAAACCACAGGCGAAATACTGTAGAGGCAAGAGGCAAGCAAAACTCCAGGAAGGAAAGCCAAGAGGCAACAGCGTGATGTAGCTTTTGAGTTCCAAAAGGGTTGGGGATGCATCATAACTTGCTACCTATGTGACTTTGTCTAAGGACTTAACCCTTGCAGGCGACCTCTCCTGCAAGATGTCTCCGACAAAGTCAGGTTGTGAGATTCAATGAGATATCCCCTGTAAAACATACGTCGAGTAGGAAGTTGCTCTGAGCATGCGCTAAGCTTAGAGGGGGCAGCTGGTAGAATTTCCGCTTCCACCGAAAACTAAGCAGGCTGCAGATTCTGAAGAACGCCCTGCCAGCTTATCTGAGTTGAGTATGTTGCATTTGTTTTTTGCTTGAGAGGCAGAGAGAGAGACAGAGAGTGTTTCCACATGCTGGGACCCAGGAATGCAATCCAGGTTTCCCAGGAGGGTGTCAGGCACCCAATTAACTGGAGCCATCATTACTGCCTCCCAGGGGCCACCCTGGCGGGAAGCTGGAGCCAGGAGCCAGAGTCAGGGATGAGACGCAGGTCCTCTGATGTGGGACATTAGCATCTTAACTGCTAGGCCAAACCCTGCCCCTCTCTCACTGGCACTCAATGTGGACTTATGGCTCTGCAAGCTGTAGAAACAGATGCTACTGCAAAATAACTACCGTCTACAGATTGGGAAATTCTGTCTTCTTCAGAAGATGTTCAGTTGACATCACTAGCGACCCCACGGACAAACCACTTTCGCCTTCTTTTTCACGTTCATTTTCATGTTTGTCATCCATAACATGGATGCTCATCTAAATGAGCTTCAGCATCGATCTGTGTTTTCTCTGTGATTAATGAGTTCCGGAAAATCTTTAACACGACTTCCTGCTGTATCTGTGTTAAGAAGCACCGTTTTACCGGCTTCGAAAGCGGTCTTTCAACAGGACCAAGACACGCCCTGTGACGTCACAGCCGTGGACCCCGTCAGCGGAACCCGGTGGGGCATTTTCTCAGCGGCTTTGATCTGGCACCAGTTCATCTGAGGTCCTTGCCCATATGCAGGAAGTTAATAAAGAGTGGTTATTAACTCTTCTAGCCAGCTAATACCTTCTAAATTGGAGGAACAATATATCATAATCGGACCAAATTAATCACTTAAAAACTATTAGCGCCTTAGTCCATTTTCAGTCTGCAAAACCCCAAGAAATGAAATTGCTGCACTTTGGTCCTCAAGCAGGGGTCTGGAACACCAGCATTGTGACACAACCGATACCCCTCCGGCTCCCCAAGATTTTCTGGGGAACCTGGCTCCAACTCTTCCTCTCCCTGACAGGTTGCCACTGCCAATCTTCCTCACTCAGCCTCTCTGTCACTATTTACCAAGGACTACTCTGTGGTCCAGAATTAAATGCTGGGGAGGCACCGATGGATAGATAACAGCCCCACAGCCAGGAAGAGACGATGGCAAAAGGGTGAAGAATATGACAATGCAGGACAGACAGCCCAGAGCGGGCAGGACTCTGCACTGGAAGACGCTTAAACAGAGACCAGCTGAGGGAAGGAGGGTAAGCCATCTCAGACAGGAGACAGCATGTGCAAAGGCCAGGGGGTGGGGGTGGCAGAAGACAAGCACAGTATCCTCTGAGACAACAGGCAGAGGGCCATCAATGACAGCGTGGGGGAAGGCGAGGGCCAGACTACAGATGCTGCATCAGCCAGAGAGGAACGCGTGAATGATTTTCACCAGTGCCAGCGCTTGCCTCCCACATCAGAGTACCTGGCTTTGCTACCTGACTCCAGCTTCCCACTAACACAGACCCTCGGAAGCAGCCGTGATGACTCAAGCGACCTGGATTGAATTCCTGATTTCTGACATCAGCCTCAGGCCCAGCGCCAGCCCATGTGGGCATTTCTGGAGGAAACCAGTGAATGGGGAGAACACACCTTCTCTTTCTCACTCCCTCTCTCTCTACCTCACAAATACATACATATATTTTTAATCAAATAATTATATCCAGCACTTCTTAGAGGCTTCATGGATACCAGAGATTACAGTGAGTATTCTACAAATATTATCTCATTTAATAGGGGTTCCTTGTCTGTGCTGTATTTTAATGACAAAACAAATGTATCCTTTTTGCAACAAGTCAAACAGTCCATTTGAAAGAGACAATTTGGCTTGTTTTCCTCCACAGACTTCTCAGTGGTCACCCAGCAAATATAAATACACAAGCACGGTGTATGTTTGTATACAAACAGGTTTATTCTATATGCACATTGTTGTCAATGTCTGTTTAAGTCTAACAGCACTCATGAACTTCCTCCCAGGCAAAACATTTGGATCTAAGTCTTCATTTAAACAAACACGTAGTAGCTCACAGTAAGAGTGAACAGAATTTTTATTCAACTCTTCCTCTACTAAGGAGCACTTAGGGTTTCTACACACTGCAAGTAATGCTAAAGCAAACCCATCTTTGTGAATATGCCCTCATCCACCGGCACGCTAGGGCTTGTGGGAACACTCTCCTGCCGTGGGCAGGCCCAGTGAACAGTTTGGAGATACTGTAGCACTAAATAGTTAAAGTGCTTCCCACCAATTCACCTTCTAGACCTCTGCAAAGTTGCAAGGAAAAAAAAAAAAAGAATAGTTTCTCCAGGCAACTCCTTGAGTCTATGCAGAATGACGGGGTCCTCATATCTTTTCTTTTTCCGGTCAATCTGAAGGGTTTAGCCCGGGTTTCACACATGAGGACGATGAAACAGAAAGAATATTGAATGATAAACATCTTGTTATGCCCGCATACCCTTGCTTACTGCTTGGGTTGAGCAGGTGCTGGGCTGTCAGGCTGCCAGATTCTAGGTGGAGAAGGCGTCAGGTTATGAATGAACACCTGTCATCGTGGTCACGTGACACGCCCCTCTCCCTCTGCCCTGCTGCAATCAGTCAGAATGGATGGCCATCACCGCGGCTTCATTTTCAGACAGGTAAGCCAACACGTCCTTAGAAATATTTGCTACATAATATATTTTTGAAAGACTTGCTTGTATTATTCCTAACTAGATTCAGCAAACGTGGCAGAGTGGCATTATTTCAAAGACAAAGGGGGAAGATTTCCCAAGTTCAAAACTAAAGCATAAACCTTGCTTTAACACTGACTCATTTTTTTCCCCTTATTTGACTCGTGGATGAGGAAGAACTTAAAGGATCTACTTCTCAAATGTTTTGTAGCATTGCTGTAGGCAGGGCTTAAAGTTCCCTTCCGTCCTGTGTAGCTGCAAGATACCAGCTTCTGGCATGGGCTGGAGCTACTCTTTTATTTTTTTCAAAAGATTTATTTTATTTATTTGAAAGACAGAGTTACAGAGGTAAAGACAGAGAGAGAGGTCTTCCATCTGCTGGTTCACTCCCCAAATGGCTGCAAGGGCCAGAGCTGCACCAATCTGAAGCCAGGAGCTTCTTCTGGGTCTCCCACAAGAGTGCAGAGTCCCAAGGACTTGAGTCATCTTCTACTGATTTCCCAGGCCATAGCAGAGAGCTGGATCAGAAGAGGAGCAGCCAGGACTAGAACCGGCACCCATATGGGAATGCTGGCACTCAGGCCAGGGCATTAACCTGCTACGCCACAGGCCGGCCCCTGGAGCTACTCTTTCTAGTGGGTCTTCATCCACATCTCTGCATCATTTCTAACTCCACCTGACACTGCCTTCCCTTCCGATGGCTTGGGCCAGACTGGATTGCCACCGGAGCCCTCCATGGGCTCCAACTCCCAATTCCGGCCCTCCTTTCTCCCCACCCCCAACATTCTCCTTGCTCCACACCTTTCTCCACATCTTACCAAAAGCCTATTGGGAAAACTGCTTATGTACTCTAGTGTAGGTGAGTTTAAGTGACTTATGAGACTTAATATCATGTCCATGGGAGGAGATGGCATGAAACAAAAGAACACCTCTCTGTGACATAAGCATCAAAAACAGGGAGGGGGGTTGTGGGTGGCTGATGGCGCTGGGGTACAAAGACAGTCACTTCTTCACACCAGCATGAGGCCAGTCCGAGAATGACAAATGATCATTCATGGACCACCCACATTCCAACTGGAAAAATACATTCTTCTCTCGTTAGAAAGGCAAGGACGTCATTGTGGCACTGTCTTGCACTTCCCATTAGGACAAACCGAGCCCCAACACTGAGCCCCACCACCTATCATGGCGTCCACTTGTGTTCCTAAGGAGGTTCGTCCAGTGCTCTTTCCTCTGTGGCCTGACACACACTGCCCCACCTCACTCAGTGCTGCAACTCTAGTCCTTGTCTATGCTCAGCTCCTCCGCCAGCTCCCCCGCTGTGTCCTCTCTGCGCTCTGGACTCTGACCACCCCGTTAAGGACTGTCACACCCTTTTGTCACCATGACTTCTGGCCTGGGCTCTGCACCAGCCCTGTGTCCCTGGAGAGCAATGCCTATGTCTCATTCCCGCCTGGAGCTCTCAGGGCCCCAGCAAGTTGCCTCCACTGAACACTCATTGGATGCATGCCGGCAAGCATGCTCCAGAGTTTGTCTAAAATAACAGAGGGAAGGTCCGAGGGTCCTGGTTCTACAGACTATAACCCTTTACTCTCCAACTCTCCAAAATAACTCCTGAATGGGCATCAGTCTCCTGGGGCCCTAAATGAGAGAGGGGGCCTCATTTGGGCTTTCAGTTAGCACCAGGACCTCCCAACTTGCCCCCCACTCGACCCCAGGAAAGGCAAAGCCATTCCCCTGCCTTGCAGCTAGGCCATCATGGCTGTGTAACACAGGATAAGAGCATCTGCTCTGGGGTCGCATTTTTCTGGGCTCACACCTCAGCTCTGCTGCACATGAGCCCATGGTGTGACTTTGGACAAGTTACTGAGCCTTTCCGTGCCGTGGGTTCCTCATCCATAAAGCGTATGTGATGGTCACCTCTATCGCATACAGCTCATGTGTGGATTGAATGATCATATAAAATGTTTAGAGCCATGTTGGACGTATCATACTTCAATAAACGTTAGCTCTCATTATAATGATTAAAGCTGGAACCATTTGATGTCCTTGAACATTATTCAAATGTGTATCTATGCAAATCCCACTAATGTATGCTCAATGATGCCAACATTAATCCTATCAGAATTTGCCCCATAAGCACATTTGGAGCACAGACTAACGTGGTTTGTATGCACAGGACCTCCGCAGCTCCCGTTTCACAGGCGAGCAGCGAGAATGTTTCCCGGTGAACTTTGCCCTGGCAGTTAACAAATGATAAGAAAGTTCATTCAGTGCGATTTTACAGGCAGCTAAATTGCCCCAAGTTTAGACTACCTGAAGCTGTTACAGCAAAGCTCACCCTGGCAGCTGGGGCACCCCATCCATGACCCTTGCTAGTTAATATGAAGTGGGGGAAGGGCAGCGGGGAGGGGGACCCCGGTGTGGAAAGAATGTGAAATGCAGAGCAAGTCTCCCCTGGCGCGCTGGGGCTCTCTCTTGGGAAAAACAGCAGCTTGTGAAACGTGAGTTTTCAGAAGAGTTCCCCATTCCCTGTGTTCCCCACTCCGTGTTTTGCATATACATGTAATTTCTACTACATTAAGCAGTCGTTATTTAAGATGATTACCACAGCTTGCTAACAAGACAAACCAACTCAAAAACATCTCAGAAGAGGAACTCATTTTTCTATGCTGACAAAAGCGTCTTGCAATTTACAGGCCAGCCAATGTCAAGGGGAGTATTTTTGCCGGTAGCGTGGCATTAACTGACCACCAACTGGGGACAAAATGCCAGCTTCCACCCAACGATGCAGTTGCCCTGTAGTCCCTGATTGCCAAAACTCTCTATTCATTCACAAACTAAACTCTATCCACCCGAGGGGCACAGGGAACTATTCAAGACAGGAACCTCTTGCTTTGGCAAACGTTCATCTGATTCTACTTTTAATTATTCCACCTATTGCCAAAAGTATTAACTCCATTCTAACTTCACTGCTGGAGTAAACAGAACCAGCTTTTTTTTTTTTTCTTTTGGGACAGGCAGAAGGCAGAGTGGACAGTGAGAGAGACAGACAGAAAGAAAGGTCTTCCTTTTGCCGTTGGTTCACCCTCCAATGGCTGCCACGGCCGGTGCGCCGTGGCCAGCGCACTGCGCTGAT